GGAACAACCTGCGACCCGTATGGGCTCGACCTGGATGGGTCAGCGGGCGGGCCTGAGTTGTAGTCCAAAATTTGTGGGCCGACCCGGAACCTGTAGCGGGCAGACTTTTTTTCACGTGGGCCGTTATCGGGGTCATATGTTGGCGGGCCGACCCAGCCCGACCCACCCCACCCAACCCAACCCAACCCAAATTGACACCTCTACTTAATTAACATTTTCGAGAACCATGATGCCCCCACAAAACTTTCCTAGGTGAAGTCACTAGTTACGGTCTAGTTATTCAATTTTGGAGGAAATAAAATAATTAAAAACTTTTACATCAATTTCAAAGAACATAACCAAAAGTTTTTCAAAAAATTATTCTCAACCAAAAAAAAAAAAGACTTGATTGATTACATGGAATCTACGTTTTGACACAATTGCAAATAATTTCAATTCAAAAGTAATTATGTACATATAGAATAATCATAAATTGATTACAACAAATGAATTGAAGAGATACAAGAAAATTTTGAAATTGAAAGAAAAAATACGTTTTTTTTTTTTTTTGCTCTGAAATCTTTACAAAATTTAGAGTATATGAGATTTTTTTAAAAAAAATTTGTTATTTATATTTTTCACCAAAAAGTATCCATAAGTTCAGTAAGTAGAAAATTCTCCGAAAGTCATTATTTATTTGAATACCTCATAACCTATAAAGACTTTGAAAAAGCTTCAATTGAATATCCTATGGCTTTTAGAGACTTTTTAAATGTCTATAAAAATATTAATTGAATACACTTAAACTTTTAAATAGTTTTTAAAAGTCTCAATTGAATATTTTTAGATTTTTTAAATCATCAAAAGTTTTTAAAAGTCTCAAATTGATACAGCTCCCTAAATCACACAAAATTAAAATATAATCCAAATTAAAACACCCAAATTGTTTTGTTCTCTCTCAGACTTTACTCCATCAATCCATCATGTCTCCGCTCCCTCATTTGCTGTCATTAAATCGATTCTGGCGACCATTCTTTCATTCTAACGAGCAGGTCCCTAGCTAATATCCACTCTCTGTGCAAGAAGCATCAATTTATTAAAATTATTTTTTGTTTAATATTAATATTAAAAATTTCTATTTTTTTGTCAAGTCAATTTATTTATTTATTTATTGTATTTTATACTTAATAATACATATATTTGATAATATATTAGCAGAAAAATTATTCTATTTTATTGCATAATGAAATTGACTGAATAAAATGTCATAAACAACTTTTAGAAATTTCATACCATACGTGTTTTCTAATTTTTTGTTTTGACAAACAGTTTTTTAGAATGACAAAATAACCTCATTTTCTACGATTTTAAAATAGACCCTTAAAATTGAAAATGAATTAAAAACTGAAAATTGAAACTCGAATCAAATGCACTCTTCGCCTTTTGGTTCTTTGGGTATGTGCCCAAAATATCATATTCCCATTTTGTATTGGTTTTGAGAGAGATTTATACCAAATTTAGATTTGAAAAAAAAAATCTACTAAAAAATCCCCTCAGCTACCAAAATATTCTAGCAATCCATTTTTTTTTCACCATTCAAAATGAAAAAAAAATTAAAAACATTGTTAATTATCATTCACAACTGGAAGTTATAGCGTTTAGTTTTCAAGACAAAGTTGCAATTCAAAGTTTCATTGGTTGCGTTGTGATTCGAAGTTCCATCTGGTACTGATTATCATCCAAAACTATGAGTTCAACAGTGATGGAAGCAACGTCAAAGGAGCTGGTTAATGGCGAACCAAATGATGAAACTTGTTGGTAATCGAACTCAAAATTCACTTTGCCCATTTTGAAAAACAAAACGAAAGATTAGGAGTATCATAAACCACAAAACATAATTCGAGTTTCAAGGTCCGATCATGAGCAGTGAGCACGTTCAACAAGACAACTTCATTGAGAAATATCATCATAATCTCTAGAAAGGTGTCACGTTAGCGACGTCATCACCTTCCACACAAATGATCTTGAGGGGACAAATGTGACATCTAACACCAGCATCTCATCTTCCACCATTTATGAGAAAGTAATGATACCTAGGCAACACCTATATCCTAGGTGAAATAATGGTTTGACCTGATGATCTCAACAATCAATGAAAACTCTTTAATTGGGGTGACTACACACATATCAAGGTCGACACTATCGCTTTACTAGTGAAGAGCGGCTAACACTTGTTTGAAAGCCTATAAATAGGGACATTGGTCTCCCACTCAATACATAATTAAGCAAGCATATTACACGTCTCTCAGAAATTGATCCTGTGTAAAAATCTCGTTCATAACAATAATCTAGCACTTATTCCATTAAATACACTTAAAGTTGATGTAAACTTGTTGCGTCAATTTTAGTGATGAACAAAATCCAGTCGATGAGGAGTCGGAGAGGGAGGTAGGAGTAATAGGTGGGAGATTCCAAGCTTGATGGATGCCTCGATGGTGACTGCAACAGTAGGGTTTTGGTCTTTTCGAGGGTGGCTTCAATCGGATTTGTTCTGGAGGTCTGTCTATAGCCTATTAGCAGTGTTTCTTGATTTTGTTGTAGTTGGCGTAATGTACCCAATACCCTGGTCGGATATCAGTTTTGCTCTTGTTCCAGCTTCTGTTATTCTGAATCTTGAACCAGCTTTCTAGGCAGCCCTCTTTTGTAATTAGTCATTTTATCCAAGTTTTGTACTTCTGTCAATGACATGGATCTTAAATAGGATTATAGGATTAGTTATTTGAATGGTCACTGAAGTATACTAATTGTTACTACGTAATAATTGAACTTAAATTTATATCTCAATGGTCACTGAATTATGCACCGTTTTACCACCAATCACTCAAATCGACGTCGTTTGTCAAACCTAGCAGATCTTTCCACATGTCAAACATATTTCCTACACATGGACTTTATTAGATATCCACCCAATTCTAAGAAAATTGTGTTTGCAAGTTTAGGCTGCGATTTCAACTTCTTATTGGGGAATAATGAAGTTTACACAACTACACGTTACAGTTTCCGGCATTCGAACAAAATCAACAGCACATCATTCGAAAAACAACATAGCAAAGACCCGACCCCTCTCCCACACACTTATACAGCAAATCAATTGGGTATTTCTCCATTTTCTCTCTTTCCTGTTGGTTTTCTTCAGGAGACTGAGAAAACCATTTATAATTAACGTATACCTTGGATGAGGCGGAGGATAAACCCATGCGAAGTAGTGGCACGCAGTTGGACGACCATAGAATCTACATCCCGGAACCTGTAGGTAAATACTGAAGAATCAAATAATACTGGAGAATCAAATCAAACTGAAGGCACGTGTTTACACGGTTTCCTTAAATCGAATTCGCCGCCTCACCGGGGTGCAAGAGGTTTTAATCGGTGTTTGATTCCCATGATACAATTGATTGTCTGTTCATGCTGCACAACGTTATCCGCCTACGAACTAGCTGTGTCTATCTCTCAAAGAACTTTAGCAAAGGAAGAAAAGAACAAAATCGAGACTGCTGATTTTATTCACAGTATCGTTAACCGAGAATGAGGTTGGCTTTATATAGGTGAGCTACTTTGATTTCCATTTAACTATAGCATTAATTTCCATTTAGTAACAAATGAAACAACTGAAATTCAAACTGGTAATGAAGAATGAGATTTAATTTTACATTCAACCACAAATTGAAACTGAACCAAAATGTGAAACAGTTTCTGATTTTTCATTCAACCAAAAGAAACTGATGAAATAGTTTCCAACAATTCCTACATGAATGAAAATTTGCGAAAAACCAGAGACTCAAGAGAGAATGAGAGAGAGTAAATCGAATCAATCCTGCATAGGATTGGTAGCATTTAGTTTTGAACATTCCCTTGTAAAAATCTATCGAGTGTTACTAGCAAACCAGTGGATCTGATGCATTGACCTGTTTCGTCATTTGTGTAAACTAAGACAATAGACCTCACACAGGACCATTCTAGACACAGCGTAGTTCTCAATGTTGTGTTCGTTTTGGCCATGAACACGTCGCCTGGTTCTGCAAGTGTTTGTTCAA